ATGATAATTGCAATATATCAAAGGCTTTTAAGGCTCTGCTCTGTGAGCGCGAGAGAGAGAGAGAGAGAGAGAGAGAGACTGAAGAAGCTTTTGCTCTGTGCTAGTTTCAGATTGTTTTGTTGATCTTCTTTCTCTCTCTTATTCTCTGATCTGTTTATTTCTTTAAAGTTATTCTGATCCATCTTAGACTGAAAACTTTACTTTCAGCTTATATCTTGCGTGTTTCTATTTCTATGTCTCTGTCTTTGTCGATCTGTGTTTCTCTGTTTCTCTTTCGGTTTCTCTCCTTCACAATCTTTTTCTTTTTTCTCTATATTTCTCTTGTTGTGTAATGTGTCTCGTTCTCTGTATCTCTGTTTCTCATCCATCATTCTCTCTCGCCTTCTCTCGTTCTCTGTATCTCTACTTCTCATCCATCATTCTCTCTCGCCTTCTCTCGTTCTCTGTATCTCTGTTTCTCATCCATCATTCTCTCTCGCCTTCTCTCGTTCTCTCAATATCTCTAGTATCTCCTTCCCATTACTCTCTCTATCTCTCTCTCTTTCTCTCTCTACCTCTCTCTCTCTCTTGTCTGTTGTCTCTACCCTCTCTTGCTCACTCTCCCTCTCCCATCTCTCTCCCATTACTCTCACTCCCTCTCTTCCTCTCTCTCTATCTTTCCCATCTCTTTTATCCATTACTCTCTCTCCCTGTCTCTCTCGTCGCACACCTGCTTGTAGGAAGGGTATTCAGTCTTCGGCGCTCGGACACCCAGTCCTTCCGTTGCTTGTTTCTTATCTCAACTTTTTCTTATTTATTTATTTATTTTTTTTTTGCTACTTGAAGTCTTTTACGCAGTTTTTTGGTGTTTTTTTTATTCGCAGGGAACTTGCGATTGCCACCCCTTTACTTGATTTGTGTGGACCGCTGTCCGCAGGATGCGGGCGGCAGGTCGCAGGACGGGCGAGACTCTGGGGCTTGGTCCGGAGCTGGGCTCTTGGAGCTTGGGGCTTTCTTTTGCCGCTGCTCCGGCGTACATTTTCTCTTATGTTTTTTCGGTCCTCCTCTTTTTTTAGTTTTATTTACTCGCCTCGACTGCCGTGCACTTTATGTCCAATTTTTTTCCTTCCGACAAACGCCGCGTGCTGTGCTCACTCTTCCTCTTCTCCGGCTCGCTTTCTTCTCTCTTTTTTTTGTTGTTCGGTGTTTAAATTAGAACTTTGTTCGTGCTTTGAATTTTTAAGTTATAAACTCAAGGGGGTATTTTTTTGCGCTGCTGCTGCTGCTTCTTCCTTGGGCTTGGACCAAAAAGAAGTGGAAAAAATGCTGGCCGAAAAAAGGGGAAAATGAGTTTCACTTTTGCCGGAAAATGGGAGTTGGGAGATGGAAGCTGGGCGATGGGGGCGAGAGGCTCGCAAAGTGAAAGTGAAAGTGAAAGTAAAAGCGAAAGTGAATTGGCAGAAGAAGACATCAGAGGAGTAGTGGCATGGGCTAGTGGTGTGCGGCAGCCGCAGCCGCAGCCGCTGATACATTGCGTCCACTCTAAATGCTCCACTGTGGCCGCCCAGCAGCAGCTGCTGCTGCTATAAACGAAGCCAACTCCGCCAGGAGCCCTCAAGGTCCTGCGAGAGGCCCACGCACACATGGGTTATTATCCAATTGAATAGAAATAAATACGATTGCGATAGCATACAGACTGGAAAGTGTGCGAGCAACTAGCAAGGGGCGTGCCCGCGCCAGGATACCATAAGTGGGGCGGGGCTAGGCAAATGTCTAATTGCACGCGCCTGCAGAGTTACTAAGTGAACTCGACCAGGAGTTGACTAGTTGGCAGACCTCACAGGACCATATTATATATAAGTATATGCATTTATAAAGCGAAACTGTCAGGATTATTTTATAAGAATCTATTAGAACTGCAGCAACCTGCTAAGCTCTAGATCCAACTCACTTCTCACACGTTATGAATTGCCAACAACAAGCGAAAGCCAACTGCACTTGCTGCAAGCTGCAAGCTTACAATTCTCAAATGGTTACAGCTTAGCCAGAGTGAAATGATAGAGCTAAGAGAAATGCATGAGAGACTCGTTAAGCTAAAAATATTTATTACTGTACAATAGATTAGATAATGTATTATATATATATAAATATATATATAATATATAATATATATAATATATAATATATATAATATATATAATATATATATTTAATATATTTAGACTACATTTGCAGCTTCTGTTTCCTTAACACTTCACAGACAACAGAATTACACAAATCTCTTCAATTATGAAAAGGAAAGCGTTTTGGCAGAAAGAGCAGAAGGACTGAGGTAGTTGCTATACGAAATTTGTGTAGAGCAGGGCTTACAATATCTACTATATCTATGAACACTTGAGAGCTAGAGAACTGCATCGCTTTCTGCAGCGACAGCTCGCTCGGGCTCGACTGTGAACCCTTTCTTTCAGTTGAATGGCATTACCAGCTGAATAAGTTTTAATTACTTAAGGAGATAATATCTAGCTGCAGCTGAGAGGAGAGCGTGAGAGAGGGAGAGGCAGACAATCGCAACTGTTCGAACTATTTGCTTCAAAGTGAAATGAAAGTGATGAAAGATTTATACAATTTCCATGTCCATTTACAATTCCAATGCCATTGCCAGTTGCCAGTTGCCAGTTGCCAAAGTCAAAGCAAATGGGACAACTGAGACGCAAAGATAAACACATGCCCAAGTGAAGCAGAGAGTACGCTAGATCAAAAAAAAGGGGCAAAGAAACCAACTAGGAATGCAGCACGCAGAGAGTGACTGACCTACAAATACCCTGACCTGAGTTACCTATAGTATATACAGCACATATGGATTCTAGTGTCCTGGAATCCGGGCCGTTACAGGGTATTTAAAAAAGCACTAAGAAAAACAAAAAGTTACAAGTCGAGAGAGAAAACAGAGAACCGGACATTGGCGAGGGCGGACAGTTGGGACGCCAGCGCCAGGGAGGAAAATTACATTAATGTGTATTTCTTTTATATTCGCTCCGTCCACTTTCTGTTTGCTGTGTCTCGTCCAACCTCCCCCCGAAGACAGAAGGCGAGGTAATGAGGCCGAGTGCAACCCTATCTTTTCGCTTTTGTTATTAAAAATTTCCATTTAAAAAATAAATGAAAACTAAATAGAAACGAAAAAGCTGAAAGAACAGAAGAAAAAAAAATGCTGAAAAAAAACGCAGAGCACAAAATTTTGATTTTAACCCCGTTTTTCACAAGGCGAAACGCTGCGGAGCTGCCAAACTTTTTAACCCTTTTCTTTAATTAAAAAAGAAAATGCAAAATATATATAAATATATACATACAGACAATCATATATATACATACATATATATGCAGTATATATAGTATATAGAAATGTGTGTCTGTGTCTGAGCTTGGAGCAGGACAGCTGGCGCTGAATTTTAAAATGCTTTTCAATACCAACAAAAAAAAAACAAGACGGAATGTTGCAGTCGGGCAGCATTGACTGCACAATGCTCGCTCAGGGTTCAAGTGAAGCACAGACGGCGCACAAATCATAGATGCGAATACCAGCGAGTATGGGATAGTATAAGATAGCAAGACTTCAGCTTGAAGTAGTTTGGTGTGTAGAAGGAAGAATAGAAAGACGAACGGACGTACAGAACGATAGACAGACAGACGGACAAACGACTGAATGGACGGACAGGCAGACGGATAGGCGAATGTATGAACGACGGACAAACAGGGGTACGAATAGACGGACGGAGAAACGGACGAACAATCTGAAGGACTGAACATCGGACGGACGGAGAAACGGACGAACAAACTGAAGGACTGAGCGTCGGACGAGCGAGCGAAATGCTATACAGACACATAGACGACAGACAATCAGCAGACAGACAGACGATCAGGCACACAGACAGACGGACAAATAGAGCAAGCCAATATACTCTATTCACGTAATGAACGAGTATAGCAAAAAAAAAAAAAGAAAGAAATAGCAAGACGCGGGCAAAGTACATAAATTTCGACAGCCGTTGCTTCGAAAGGGTTTCGGAAGGAGGCAGAGGGTAGGGGCTGGGGGTGCGGTAAACGGGCAAAACCAAAGAAAAAGTAAAGTAATTATTTTGCATTTGCGTAGATAAAATTAACGATGATGGCGACCAAAGCAAAGGGACTAAAAAGTAAAAATAAAAAAAAGAAGTGCATGGGGCGGGGTTGGTCGCACGCGAAGCAGTGACAATGGCAAAGACCCAAGCCTCACCCCAACCCCCATTGGCGTTACTAACCCCATCATTATGCCAATTCAGCTGTCAAAACTTTGTGCGTATTTTAATTTTTCTTCTCTTTTCACTGTCTTTTTTTCTCGCTTTTCTTTTCTTTTCTTTTTCGCTGTCGCATTTTATGGCCTGGAAAAGGTTCGAAAAGTGGGTAGATGGGGTTGGGCAGTTGCCAGCTGGGGGGCGGGGCAGCTAGAAGGAGGAGGCAAGTGCTCTGATTGGGGCGTTCCCGGTTTTTCTTCTTCTTCTTCTTCATCGTGCTGGCCAGGCTTTTAAGTGCGTGAGCTTGATTTTCGTTGCTGTGATTCCTTGCCAAAAAATTTGAATATGCATGGAACGTAGTTGTAAGGCATTTGATGCATGCCACGTGCGTAGCCACTGACCAGTACAGAGGGGTTGGCAGCCAGCCAGCAGCGAGGGCAGCTTGAAAAAGGACAAATTATAACCCAAAATGTTGCCAACTCATGAGCCACCAAAGAGTATCACGTGGCTCAAATTGACAGAGGTATTAAGCAGCATTTTGACTGAATTAATAACTTTTCTATTCGAGCTTTGTCCTTAAAAGTGCAGAAACATTTGAACTAAGCTCATTTTTAGTGAAGTCTCTGAGGTAATTGTTTTTGAGCAACGCGTAAGGGAAGTCGCTTTTGCACACATCGAAGAAATCTTTGGCCGCAGCAATAGAGCTAATCAGACTAACAAGTCATCAAAATTGCTTCGCTTTCAGCTCTTTTAGACGGTTGTCCGACTCTCCTCTAGACATTTTTCTAAACCTTCCTTTAGACCTTCCACTAGACCTTCCACTATATCCTTCTCTGGACTTTCCTCTAGACCTTCCACTAGACCTTCCACTAGACCCTGTTCTAGACGTTCCTCTAGATATTTCCCTGGTCCTTCCTCGAGACCTTTCCCTACACTTTACTCTAGACCTTACTTTAGACCTTCGTCTAAACCTTTCTCTAGATCTTCCTCTAGACCTTTCTCTAGACTTTTCTCTAACACTTTCTCTAGACCTTCCTCTAAACCTTTTTCTACACTTTTCTCTAGACCTTCTTCTAGACCTTCCTCTAGATCTCAATATCTTCCTCTAGACTTTTCTCTAGAGCTTCCCCCATACCCAGTTCTAGACCTTTCTCTAATACTTCCTTCCTCTAAACCATCCTCTAGACCATTATCTAGACGTTCCTCTGAATATTTCTCTGGTCCTTCCTCTACACTTTCCTCTAGCCTTTGAACTAAACGTTTCTCTAGAGCTTCCTGTGGACCTTCGTCCAAACCTTTCTTTAGATCTTTCTCAAGACTTTTCTCTAGAACTTCCTTCAGCCCCAGTTCTAGACCTTTCTCTGATACTTCCACTAGACCTTCCTCTGGATCTTCCTCTAGACCTTCCTCTAGGCATTTCTCTAGACCTTCCTCTAAACCTTGTTTTATAGCTTCCTCTAGACCTTCCTTAGATTTACCTCTAGACCTTGCTCTAATCCTTCTTCTGCGCCGTCCTTTTGAGCTTCCCTCAAGGCGATCTCACATTAAATATCTAACTCATAATAATATAATAAAAGACAGCTGCAAATAAACCAAAAAAAACGGACGAAAAAGGAAGAATTTTTTGAAGCATTTTCTTTGTTATCCAGTCGCTGTAAAAAGCGGCTCTACAACAGCCATTAATAGTTGGTTTCATATTGTGACAACTTTCAATTGACAGATAAGGTTCAAGGACTTTGCTCATAGTAACTACGAATCCTTTCAGCTGGAGCCTAGCCCAATGCCAAGCCGAACCTCGTCTCAGCTGATTTATTTGTCAAATATCGAAGTCGCTTGCAGCTTTAATAGAATTCCAGAATTTCATTAGACTATATAAAACCATTCAGACTTTATCGAAGAGTAAAGTGAAAATCTGTTGAAGTTTTCCTCTTGCCTTTTGCCTCTCCCTGTGGCAACATTAAGATGTTTATCTACCCCACCACGCGTCGGCCCGCCGCCCCCGCCGCGCTGCTTGGTGCGACGCCTCTGCTCGTTTGATTTGTACAGCTGTACTTCGCACTCGTTACCGGCCTCCCACGCCTCCAACTCAGCGCCTTACGCACTTTTTTGCATACCAACAACAAAAAGCGCTTGGGCGCAAAAAAAAAAGAAAAATCAAGAAAGAATAAACGAAAGAAAAGGGGTTGATTATGGTCACTAGCAAATTGGTAGTACGCAGCGCAGCTCTGCCCCTGCCCCATCCACCCGGCTCGCCCACTGCGGTCCAGTCGACAAGGACTACGACTACGACACGACAAGGACAAAACCAAAAAAAAACGGGCCAAAAGTGGATGATTCTGTTGTTGTTGTTGTTTTTGTTGTTTCTTGGCTGCTGTTGATTTTCCTCTATATATTTATACATATATATAATATAAAGAAATTTCCTTTTTTTTCTTATTTATTTATTTTTTTTCTGTGTTTTATTCGCGCGCAATTTTCGGTGTTAGGAATTTTTCGAGCTGCCCCCGTGCCATAGGTAACGGCTACATAAGATATTTATGTATATATAGTATGTGTGTGTGTGTGTGTAAAGGGTGTAAATTGTGGGAGGGGGCTGGCGGGGCTGGGGCACTTGCTGCTTGTCTGTTTATAATGGTTTTTAAATTTTTGTAATATTTCAATGTCATTTCGCTAATGTACAGTTGGCAACAAAACACACGGCCGAAGAAGAGCGCTCGAGCGCGGCATCTTAATTGATGCGGAGCGCCATCTGTTGGCCGGCAGCGGCAAGCAGAAACTTAAGCCTAATTTCAATTGCACAGCAATTATAGCAAATGGAACTGAATGAAAAATTGGCCTCGCCCCATAGGCTGAGCGCATAAATAACAAGCGCACACACACCAGCACACCAGCACACACACACACACACACACACACACATGTGCTCAAAAATGTTGTCAAATAAACAAATAGACAGACATACGAAACGCATTTCGCTTTTAGCTTTTGGCCAGCGGCTCAGCGGCATGTTGAAGGGGCTTCGCAAGTTAGGTGGTGCCCACGTCCAGACACATGTGAATGGCAAATAGGGGTAGCAGCCACACACGCACACACACGCACACACACACGCTATCTCAAGTAATCGCACGTAAGTCGTGGCGTCCAGTAAAAAATGCAAAAAAAAATACATAAAAAACGAGTATTATGCGAGGTGATCGACTAACAGTTATCCTGTAACAGTGCTGGACTCGTGCAGCATAGGATATCTAGATGCTAAATGAAACTTAAAGAGTGCTCGACTAGCAGTTATCCTGTAGATTGAGCCACTAATTGGAAAGAGTTCTAAGCAGCTAGAGAAGCTTCTATTCTGGAAAGTCTCATTCAATGAAGTCTGGCATCAGCTGTGTGGCGCAGTGTTTGCTTACAGGGTATATCAGCTGAAAAAGCAATTCGAAAACAGGAAGCTGATGCTGGCTTCTGGTGCTGTAAAAAATTCATGCGTCTTTGTGTGTCCTGACGCAACGCACGCATTGCCACAGACAGTGGCAATGGCGGAGTCAGAGACAGCCGCAGCCGCATCTCAGCTGCCTCCATTGGCGCCCAATCCATAAGTCACGTGTGTGCGTGCGTGTGTCATGCCTGGACAGCTGCTGGCAATTGCTGCCTGCGACTGTGGCAAGAGCCAAACTCGAGTCAAACTGATTTTCACATTGCCCAAAAGTTTAAATTCCAATTGGATGCGATTATGCTTAAAGAATTGAATTACAATCGGAGCTCGACTGCTTGAAGCTAAGTTCAGTTGCAACTTGACTCAAGTTTGGACTGCCATCTAGGCTGACTCTTGGAAATTAATCAAAATTAGTTTAAGGCAAGGCAAAAAAGTTGAGGGATTCGAACCCGCTGCTGCTGCGCTGGCCTTAAGCGCAGCTGGCTGATATGAGTCGAGCCATGAAATACCGCTGACTAAGCCAAATGCATTTGCAATACTTATCAGAGCGGGACTGCGTCTTCGACCAAAAATTAAATTCATGAATCGAAACTGGTCGCTGCGAGCCATAAAACGTGGCTGTGACAATTTTTGTTGGAGCAGTCGAGCCTTAAACCTTTTCCTATGAGTTTTTGGCAAGCTAAGTAGCGCTACATACAAGTGTTTAAGTACATGTGCCATGCACACACACACACCCACACACACATAGTTATATGTGTATTTATGCAGCCCGCCCACGCCCACTTTTGACTTGGGCAAACTCCCCAATGGCCAGGTCTAAGGTCCAAACGCTAATTTCGATGCTGTAGCCGACGGCGCTTATGAGCTTTACCAAAAGCCCCATGAAGTTGGCATTACGTATGTAAAATAGTGCCGCACACACGCACACCCTTACGCACTTTACAAGTGGGTGGGTGGGTTGTAGCTGGCGTAGCTGGCAATGGGAATGCGAATGTGAATGCTTCACATTGCGTAAGCTAACGGTAGGTGTGTGTGTGTGTGCGTAACACGCTTCAGGCTTCTGGTCCTCAAATTGGCAATCGCAAATCTAAGTTCCCTGTGCGTGTGTCTGTGTGTGTGTATCGGACCAAGACGGAAATTTAAAATTGTTGTGTGGAAATTGGTTTAACATTTGCCTCGCTCTTTCCCATTTGCACTCATACTATCTCTGTCTAGCTGTGTGTGTCTGTGTGCGTCAGGTGTGTGTTCTGCGCTGATCAGCCTGGGCAGTCAAAATAATATATAGCATTGAGCCTGGGGCGGGGGCACAGGCAGCGGCCAGGGAAGACTTGATGCCTATTTCTATGCTACACTTCACACAGCTCTAAAGTGTGCGAGTGTGTGTGTGTGTGTGTGTGTCGGTGTGTGTCGGGTGGGTGGTTAGCTCAGAACTAATGCAAAACTTTGGAATATTCATCATGGGCAAGTTGTGTCCTCATTCGTCCTTCGTTTGTCCCGCTGCACCGTGGTACGAGCTATGCACTTGAAGCTAATTTCGAAGCGAAATCGTAGAGCAAAACAGGCTTTAAAATGGTTTTCTTGAGTACTGAACAAGTTAACATAATGAGCGAGGGCCGTCTTTTATAAATATATATATAAATATTTATATATATTTATGAAAACCAAAAAAAAAATAAATTAAAAAAAAAATATATATATATATATAAATATATATATATATATATATATATATCTTTCTCTCTGCTTGAGTCTACCCCAAATAATAATTTAAATAACTTAAACTTTAGCTTTAATTACCTTTGCCTTTCTTAAGTTTTCAATCGCTCTGTACCCACTGTGCCTAAATATTGTGCGGCTTGCGCCATGATAGTTATGCTGCCCATAAATTAACGCACGCACACACACATAGACACACAGACACACAGACACAGACGACCACACAAGCAGGCACTGATACGAAATGCGCGTTAACACACACACACACACACATACACCTAGACACATTATATACACAGTTTATATATCGTGTATATATATATTTTCATGTATAAAATGCGACACAGTTAGAAAGGATTAAATTCTGTTTATGTAATTAAGTTGAAATTTATAATCAAGGCAATGTTTGGGGCTATCAGCCAGTGTCGTGTACATAAGGCTGCCCGACACACAACTAACCCTCCACCTTCAACACACACACACAGACACACACGCAAGTTGTTGTCTTATGCAAACTAGTTTTCAAGTTCTGCGACCACACAAGCAAAATGCCTGTTTACACACACGCACACACGCACACATGTATAGCTGGGCAATGGACAGCAGCTGAGTGTGTGTGTGTGTGTGTGAGCGAAAGTTTTTGATTGCGTGGCATTTGCACGGCTCGGCGCATTTGGCGTAGCATACTTTCGAGCGCACAGCAAAAATCGTTCAAGCCTCGATTTGAGTTAAAAACTAAAAACTGCCAACTGAGCGCCCAAAGCTGCACGTCAAATTCATAGTCTACACACACACACACACACACACATACACGGTGTATACTTATAGTTTTTGTTTTGGCCTGGCTGACAGCAGACACACTGACTTAGTTCCCACAGTGGCTGGCCAAAAAATTTGGGTTAAACTGATGCCTTTTAAATCGGATAAAAGGTACAAAACGAGAAGCGAAATGCCAGCAAATATAGCTGGCAAAACAACGCAAAACAAGCCCATGCAAAATCACGTAAAACAGCAGCAACAACAATGCGAATGACAAGCGTATATGTGACATTAGCATTAGTCCAATACAAAGTTCCGCCCACCCCTGCCAGCAAAAAATACCACCTGGATATCTGGCATAGCTAAAAGGGTTGTCTGTTACTCTCCGGCCCGCCTGTCGGCCTGTCTGTCTGTCTGGCCTGTCGGCGCTGGCCTGTCGTGTCGTGTCCTTCTGCTTTGCGCCTTGACGGGCAGCGAAGTTTACAAAAGAAAATCATTTGATACGCGAGTGCGAGCGAGCAGCTCGGACGCAATTTCCTACTTAAAACAGCAACAACAACAATTGACAGCAGGGGAAAGGAGCAGGCGGGCATGTGGCTGTGGACAGTGCGTCTGACTGTCAACTACATAACATTTGAAATGAAAAGTTAAGGGAAGATTTTTCTCTCGATTCTTTTTATACAAAATTCTGTTTTTTTTTTTTGCGTATTTTCTCCTGCATATGCACATGCATGTGTGTGTGTGTGTGCGTTGGTGTGCGTATATAAATTTGGTTTTTATGTAATTTTTCATTCTGCTGCCGACGCGGACAGCACAGCGCAGCGCTGCCAACGCCGGCAGCGCAGCGCGACGCTGTGGTCAGCTTTTAATTTTTTGTAGCATACTTTTACGCGCAAAAGTAAAAGGCAAAGCAAGCGAAAGGTTTGTAGGCGGCTGGGTGGTTGGGCTTGTATGATGACTGCGTTTGATTTGCTGTATTTGCTTGACCAGCCTCTCAGCCTGAGCCTCAGCCACTCTGTGTGTGTGTGTGAGGGTAGCTTGTTGTTGTTGTTGTGGGAGCACATTTTGTTTATAATGTATATGCATATGCATGAACATGTCCCATCTCTCCCTCTCTCTCTCTCTCTCTCTCTCGCACCGGTTTGGGCATGGGCAGCACTTTTGCTAGCTGTTTATTAATGTGCCCAAACAGCAAAATCTTCGTCTTCATCTTCTTCTTGCCTTCTGCTGCTGCTGCTGCTGCTGTGACAGCTGCGCTGAGCTGTAACATATTTTCGCAGCAGCGAAACTTGATTTCCCTTAATATCTTTGCTAGCTGTGAAATGGGTCTCTAAGTGCTTAAAAAGTAGTAAACTGGCGCGTTGATAACAACTTGCTGCATTCACTTTTTGAGACAATCAATAGATTGATGGATCTTCTAAACAAATGTCCAAATTTCTTACAAATTTCAATTCGTTATTTTATGGCTCCTGTATAGAACAGGCATATATCTAAGCAGCTATCTATATATGCATGTTTTTTTTACAATTTATAGTTTCATTCAATATTTTTGATTCCATTTCATATTTAAATCTTTCAACAATTTCCAAAGTTCTTAACTTTAATCTATGCTAACTTTGACGGAAGCGCAGCATTTTCTTTATGATTATTCTGTGCTCTGCTTTATACTTACATCTTGGATTGGTTTTATCTAAAGATAAATGTATATATATATACGAGTTTTTTCAAAAATAAGTGCACATTTTTTCAAAAATTATTTAGTTTTTATAAATATTTATTTGGTTCCCTAATTAAAGCTGTTCCTATCAGATATTCTATACTTTTGCGAATTGCATTGATTGTGATCTTGTTCAACTGCTTCTTCAATGACAGCCTTATCTCCTTATCTTTAGCTCGTTATTTGATTTAAGGCTATTCAAAGAGAAGCATACCTAAAAGCAATCGATAAATATCGATCAAGCTAAGCGCTATACAATTTGATGTTTCGCTTTTTGAAATAGTTTAGAGGCTCAGCTCTCGACTAAACGTTAATCGATTTGTCTGAATAGTTTTTATAAAGACAACAGCAACAACAACATCAATCTGAAGCAACATAAACTTGCAACTTACACAACTCATTTCCGGAACTCTGATAAGCCCCACGACCAGAGGCTATTGGCTAAAGTAACTGTCTTCCAGCAACACCCACCCCGCCTGGTCCGGCCTATATGGACACCCTCACCTTATCGCGGTAATAACTGTAAGCATGTAAGCCTGGCCAAAGGGGGTGATTTTGTAATTTTCTTTACATTTCTTTACTTGAACGTCGACGACGGCGACGACGTCGCTGCCCACGCCGCTGCTGATATTGTTGCTGCCGTTGACGTCGACTTCGGCGTCGGCGTCGGCGTTGGCATTGGCATCGCTGTCGACGTAATTTCGTAACCCTTTTTTTTGTGCTGTTTTCTTCTTCTTTTTTTTGCGCTCTACCACGTTCTTCTCAAAGATTTTTTTGCCCGCTTCGTGTTTTTTTTTTGTTTTTTATATTTTTTATTTCGCTTTTTTATGTGCCGAAGATTTTTCTATGTAATTTCGTGCGTTTGCTGCTGCTGCGGCTGCTGCGGCTGCTGCTGCTACATTTTCCTTTGCCTGCTACTTTCCTGCTTCTTCTTCTTCTTTTTTGTGCTGGTCAGCTTTTCTGCACGCTTCGCAAACAGCGTCCGAAAATGAGGAAAGTGAAAGCTGAGCGCAAAAAAAAGAGGAAGAAGAAGAGCGAATGGATGCCATGGCCAATTGTCCAAACGAGCGTGCAGTGGTGTGTGTGTGAGGCTGTGCAGCATTTTCCATTTGGATTTCTTGTTTTTTTTTTGGCAACCCATTCTGTTGCTTACCTAACAACAGCCCCCGCTCACCCCGCCCCCAATCAGCATCATCTGCACCCCTTCCGATGCCCACGCAGCATCCGCTTTTGTTACAATTTTGCCCGCTTTTTATGCCCTGTAAAAGAGAGCAGGAAGTGGGTAGCATAGTATATCATATAAGACGCTTCTTCTTGTCTGTGATCAAGTCATTTATTTTATTTTATTTATTATTTTATTTAATTTCATTTATGCAATTTGATCTTTTGGAATGGAATGGAATAAAAATGGTTGATATGGAACGCTGTACGATGTGTGAGAGTGTGGGAAAGGAATGTTATGGAATGGAATTGTCAACTAGGCATGATTGATGTGGTATGATATGATGGGCTAAGATATAATATGGTAAGAAACGGAATGAAATTAATTGTTTGTACCAAGTGGAATGGAAATGTCAGTGAATCATGTGGTAAGATCTGTCTATGATTTAACACACGATATCATGTTGCAAGCATTAGTAGGGAGAAGGCAAAGTGCAAATTCTTTGAGCGGCTTACCTTGTGCCTGCAATTGTTCTTGCGATCGCTCATAGCGCCTAGATGCTTTAGAGGCTATCAGCTAGTCGCGCAACATTAACGCTTTTCTTTTCTACTCTTTTTTTGCGCTGGTTTCAGGTGGTTGGGGCGAAAGGATTCGTGCGAAACAACAACAACAACAGCAAAAAGAAATGCCTGCCCAGTTGACCAGCCTACGCTGTCGCAGCCTCTCTCTCTCTCTCCATCTCTCTCTCTCTCTCTCTCTTTCTCTCTCCCTCTCGCTCTTGCCATAAGCCCCTGCCACTGCCACAGACGCTGCCGCCGCCCCAATCACACACCCCTTCCAGTGCAGCCCCGCACGCTCCGTGGCACACGCCACGCACATTTTAGCTGACTTTATCATGGCCAACAACTGCCTTGGACCAAGCCCAACCCTCTGGCCGTGGCCATGGCCCTGGCTGCGGCTGTGGCTCGTGTCCAGCCGTTCGTTTTTTAGCATTTTTCATTTTCTTTTAATTCAGCATACACCCTCGCACACACACATGCACACACACACGCACACGCACGCACTTTCTTTTGTGCAAAAAAAATAAAGAAGAAAGGGAAAGTGGAAGCAGAAAAGTAAAAGCAAAATTGTAAATTGAGTTACGCATTCTGACAGTTTGCATTACGATCTCTCTCTCTCTTTCTGGCCCACGCACTGGTCACACATGCTGGCCACGCACATGAGTGTGCGTGTGTGTGTGTGTAGTGGCTGCTATCTATCGATCTACTTTTTACTCTTCATTGGCATTATTTTGGCTTCGTTTGCGTCTTCGTTTCCAGCTTTGTCCTCGTCGTCATCTCAATTGAATTCGTTTCATTTCGTTTCGTTTGAATGAATTTCACTTGCAAGCGTCTCTCCCATCCACCTTCCCACTCTCTCTCTCTCAGCTGGACTACCACTACTATATCAGCATATATCTAAGACACACACACACACACGCTTTGCCTGCTGTGTCCGGCGCGTGTGTGTTTTGTTTCAGTTTCTTTCGTTTTTTATTTGTGAACGTTTGATTTTGTTTTTTATTTGTGTTTGGTACTTTTTTGGCTCTACTAAACGTAGCCCTGCTCGCTTCAAAGGATTCGCATATTTAAACATATTAAATATCAAAGACATTTCTTTTCCTATTTGCCCTGCCGCCCATTTGCCACTTGGCATTTTCAATTTGATTTTCGACTCTATCGTTGACATCATTTTCATTTTCCTTTCCTTCTTCTTTACTATTTTTTTCTTGCTGAAACTGACCCAACTCTGCGCTTTCTGACAATTAAATTTGCATCATTTGCCATGGCAATGTCCACTCTTTTAACTTCCTCATGTGATTAACTTTGGCTTCTCGTTTTCTCTTATTATAAATGGAATCTTCCACTTGTTTTCTTCCTCTTCTACATTTTATATTCTTCTTTCCTTCCTTTATGCTCATAATGCTTGCGTAATGCATTTGCTCTTGTCTTCTGCTCTATTGCAGCTGTGTTCCAGTTGTTTCCATTCCGTTTCGTTCCAACATTATGCTGAGTGCACGCATCTGCATCTGTTTCATTTACACTTATCCAAAAGTTTTTAAGAATATTTCAGCTTTTCCTCAGATTATTCCTCAGATGATATGCCCATTGAGCCACTGGCTAAACTGAACCAAAGAATCTGCATTACATTTTGCCTAGAAGTAGATACCGCAGTCACCGTATTGCTCAGAACCAACTCCCTCTGACTCTTTTCTGTTCCCGAAACTGAAAAGATGAAGCTGCGCAATGGAGAGCTACGAACTAACTGCATCCAAACAGAAGCTAACCAAGATCACGAAATCTGTTTTGTTTTTTTAAGTTCTTTGGAAATGGGAAGATACTTCGGCAGAAGTATATAATATCTAATGCGGATTACTAAGGCAACCAAATAGATAATCATAAATAATAAGAAATAAAAAAAAGATTGACGTAATATAAAATAAATTGAAATTTGTGAAACTTTTTGAACAAACCTCAAAAAATCAATTAGCGAAATATAAGTGACAAAAAAAATAATACAACTATTACTATATAACTACTATTTTTATTAGCTGTTATTATTAATATTATAATCAAGCCGGTTTCCTTTAGTTTTCCTTCTTTTCATTTCTCTGCGGCGCTGAAAAGTAGGCAACACTTTTTGTTCAACTTATATAAATGAAGTTTAATTAACTATAAGTGAAGCTTGTATTCAAAGACAATGTTATTTCAATTATAAATATAACGCGGCAAAGTAAATTGAATACGTTTCCGCTACCGAAAAGAAAATGATCGCTCAGCCGAGGCAGCCTGACTTCTGGTTCTAAACCACTCCAAACAGACCTTAGCTTGACGACTCAATTTTGAAAAAATTTTGATCAAATGCCTATCATATACCCCATAGACCCGATTGATCTGACGAATTTGCGCCCTGAAGACAGTTTTGACAGTTTTGCTCATTTAAAAGTTTCCTCATCAACTGTGAACTAGGGAAACCGAAACAAAAAACACAAAATAAACAAAACTAAGTAAATAAATTTGTTTTGTTGCTAAAAATTCAATTAAAATTGTTTTGCTTACGCAAAGCGCACAAAATATATACATTAAAAAGAAGAAGAAGAAGAAGGAAAAAACACATCAAATACATTATATATCAAAATGTACAAAACAAAAAAACGAGGGAAAGCAAAAAAAAAACAGAAAAGTAACAAAACGAGAAAAAAAGTAGAGGAAAATGCCTAAAAAAGAGTTACAGCAAATTGAGCGTCGACTGCGACGCGGCGTCGCAGCAGCAGCGGTCATTTCAAACAACAGACAGCATAACGAGATTCACACACACACACACACGCACGCACAGTCCAGTCCAGAAAAGCATCCCTTATATATATATATATCTATATATATATTTATATACGCAGCAAAATCAAATAAAAAACACGCAACGAAAAGCATGTAAAAACGTGGAAAAAAAACAAGAACGTACCGAAAATTGAGAAAAAATAAAACCCGCTTAAATTAAGCCCACCAGCTGGCCAGCAGCAGCAGCAGCCAGCCCAACCACCCAAACCACCCACCCAGTCAGCGAGCTATCCACCAACCACTGGACAACGCACGCACGAAGCAGCCAGCGCAACGCACGAACGGGTTAAGGTCCAGAATCGTCACAGCCTCCCACACCCAACCAACGAAGCCTTCTGATGAGCAGCAGCAGCGCCAGCAGCAGCGTCCGGTGGTGGCTTGCCGAGCTGCCGAGCTAATGGCCGAGGTGGCTGGGCGGGCGGCTGCCGCGTTGCGTTTTGATGGCTGCTGAGCTGCCCGCTGGCGCTTGCCAATTTAAAAAGCACAACAAAACCCAAAAAAAATCGAAAGGCACAAAAAGTGAGAAGTAGATGAGAATGTTTGATCACACGCCGAACCACAAATACTCTACTTTGGCAGTGCCACAAACTGCAACTGATGGCAATCTGAGATAGATATATAAATAGATCTATATATAATATATAAATTAGTTTTTATACCAAACTGAATTTAGAATGTGTGCAAAGGCGAGGAGAACTCAATATTAAATATGAAAATATATAAAAATTGTTTAAATATTAAAAATAAATAAGAAAACAAACAAATATAAAAAATGCTGAAAAGTTGTCCAAAAATAAATACAACTAAAAAAAGAGATTATTTTATTTTTTTTTTGTTTGTTTGTTTTTTACTTTCAATTTCAATTATATAAACAAAATTTAAAAATAATAAAAAATTATTTAAAAAAAATTAATTTAAATGTAAAAAAAAAAACAAGAAATACTGAAAAGGGATAAAAAATATTTTTTAAAAAATTTAATTTTAACTTAAGAAATAAAAAAAAATGATTTGTATACAAAATATATAAAAATAAAAATTAAAAATGGAGTTACATAGATTGATTTAATTTAATTTATTTTCATTGATTTTGGTCATATATAAATTTTATATTTTTATTGTATTTTTATGTTTTACAACAAAATCTATTTAATTTATTCATTTTTCACCTGAACATCATATTTTTGGCTATAAATCTGTCACAAGGCCAATTGTCAGCTTACATTGCAAGCAAACTGTGGCCCGAGCTAATATACTCCACATCGATGAGGGCATAAAACGGCAACGAAACGGCCACGCAGCATAAATAAAATGCCAAGCTAAATAAAAAGCAAACAGAACGCAACGTGGCCAACCCTTTTTGCTGTTGGCCAGCTTGAACTGTGCTCGCCCGCCCTCTGAGTCTGCCCATACAACGCCAGCCCCCTTCTTCCTGCCCAGCATCTTCCCCTTTATATGCTGCGCATCCTTGGCGCTAGTGTCCACCTCGAGAAAGAAAGAAATTCAAAATTATGGAGTCGCCTTTGTCCTTGCTGTTGTTGGTTGCTGTGCGCCTCGCTCGCGCTCGCCTGTCATCCTTGTCGTGCGTGGGCGGCCTCTCTTTCTTCAGCTGCGGCTGGTGCCGTTTGGTGCTGCCAGCTCCTCGTGCTCGGCTGGTCAGTGCGTGGACATTAAAATGCGTAAATTTGCAAAAGCTTCAATGAATGTGTGTGCGTGAGTGTGTGTGTGTGTCTCCTTGTGTGCGCGCTGCTATCTACCTCTGCAGCATCGTCAGCATCGACGCAGCGTTGTTCCTCACTTCGCACAGTGGTCAAAGCACTTGAATTTCACAGCAAATTGAAAAATCTATTATAAATGAATCAAATTTATTTACATATTATAGAGACCCATGCGAATTGCATTCTTTTATCAGCAGAGAATTCACTACTTGTTGCATTCTGACTTCTAACTCCGTTTCATTTAACAGCATACTTAGTTAACATGCTTCTGTTACTGTTAACAACAGTTGTTGCTACTCATATCTAACAGCAACATTTATGCCACTTTTAGTAAACATTGTTTTGATATACTCCTCAAATATCTGAACTCTCCTCAATGCATCTCACTCATAGCTGCTTTACAGTCTCATGTTATTGTTATGCTAGTGCGCTGTTAAGCCCATGTTAACTAACCTTAAACCTTTTTTAGGCACAAAAAGCTAATTTTGTGCCATGGCTGGGCAACTGAAAGTGAAAACGAGCCAAAGCGCCGTCGGGGCACAGCCTGGCACATCCTGGCCAACCGGGCAAATGATTGCTGGCACTGCGTGCGTTGCATGAAGCAATTCAATCGTCGCATTGTGGTTCGATGTTGCATATGCTGCCCACACTCACGCCTAATCAATTGACCTTTTCATGTGAGCTTTCGCCCCCTTTGCTGCCACACACGCACATACACCCAAATCTCCCAGTCAAGCTGTAATATGATTTACTGATCTGCCTGTCTGCAGTTTTTTCTATTTCGGGCTGCTAACTGATTGCTGGACTGGGGCTTTGATTTTGACGGGCTTAAGGCAGTTGCGGAATTTCAATTCGTTTTTATCTTAGCTTCGTATGAGTTATTAGAGTTAGTTAGAGAATCACATAGAAAGGCCATGATTTCACGAATTTCAATGAATTTACTTTAAGCATCTGCGAAGATTCTTGAGATTCGCATATGCAGCGAGGAGAGTTATTGAGCTTTAGCCTTTTCCTAGCGAGAACTCTGAGCATTAATTTCCCTTAGATTATGCACTCACAGTCAAAGAAGTTGCACTTCAGTTAGGGCACAGCAACTGTGCCCATAATACTCAGCCCACAGTCAGCTACAAGATAAACGTTGCTCAATTAGCCACGTCTTGATAGTCCGCAAGTTCTGAACTCTAACTGCACAGCAGAACTGGGCGATAGTGTTGGAACTTCTGGCTATAGTTCACACGATTTAGAACTTAGATATATGTACTTCAGCTATTTATTTAGGGGTTAGAACTAAATCTCCTTTTAGAGCAACATAGTAATACCCATTGGAGACAGAATCTTAACACTTTATTGGAATATGGCAAAGCGGTAAAGGCTCTAAGCATCTGTCCCAGGCAAAGACTCTAGCCGCTGCCCTATTCGAATGAAGGAGTTTCAAAGATCAAATAAAGAAAACACATTTGTTTATATATATATATATTTTTGTTTGTTGTTTTTTCTTTTTATTTTTTAGGCATTTTTTGCATTTATTTTCCATTGCTGCAATTTGTTCAACACATTTTTCTCGCAGTTTTTCTTTGTTTTTTAGTTGTTGTTTTTTTATGTGATTTTTTTTAATGTTTTTATCAAAATTACAAAAATTCCATTTGAATCGGAATATAAGGTATATATGTATGTATATATATTAAATGTCATGTTGGAAAAAAATCGTATCAAATGGCAACATTCTTTCACTATATAATAGACCTGCAAAAAATTTCATTTATTTTTAATGTTTTTTTTTTCTTTTTATTTTTTATTTCTTTTACATTTATATATTTTGCTTTGTTTTTTATTGCTGCATTTTTTTTTTTGTTTGTTTAGTTTTAATTAGTTGTAGTAGGTTGTAGTTGGTTTTTTAGTTTTTAGTTTTTAGTTTTTGTTTTTCCTTTGTAAATTTGTAGTTAATCCATACATATTTTTTTTACTTTTTATGTTTTTAGCTTAGTTAGATATTTATTCATAATGAAGTTGATTTTGTTTCTTGCTTTTAAGTCTCTTCTTTGTTTGTCTGTGGCTGCATTTTGTTTTTATTTCTTATTCATTTTGTTTTTTGCTTATTTTTGTAGTATTCTCGTATTGCATTTCTTTTGATTTATTTGAGGTTTACAACAAACGTAAAACATTTGGTAAAAAAGCGTTGAAAAAATTTCCAAAAAAAGTTCCAAATAATTTCATATATTATTTTATTTTTTTTCTGATTTTTTCTTTTTTTTTTGTATATTTTATAAAAATCCACTAATTTGCACATACTTAAAGTATTTTCGAAATTTTAGTTTAGTTTTTTTTGTTTTTTTTTTCTTTTTAATATTATGCTATAAAAATGTTTGTTGTTGTTGTTGCTTTTTCCATTTTTTTAAATTTTATTTATATAACTTATGCTAATTGAATTAAGTTTTTAGTACATTGATTTAGCATTTTGCAAGTTTTTTTTTGTGTTTTTTCATCTTTATCTTTATTTATGCGCCTATGGCACATTTCTTATGAAGCATAGCATTATATATATATATATATATATAGCATATATATATATATATATTTTGTTTAATCAATTTTGTGTTTTTAGTGTACCTATATAATAATAGTATCTAAAAAATAGCTTCATGTATTTTATATAAATTCAATGTTTTTTCCTTTCCGTTTTTTATGCAAGCTTTCGAAAATTGGCATTTCCTTTAGTTAAGGTTTATACATATATATATGTCTGCATACATATATATATACATATATATTGATATATATATATATATAAATATAAGCACAGACACTAACATTTTGAGATTTAGTAAAGTAAATGAAATCTTATATTGCATAGGCTTCGCATAAATAGCATTTGCTTTATATTTCATAGCGCAAAACAGAACGCAAATAATAATAAAAACTATAATAATAATACAATTTGCAAATTACTATATATATATATATATGTATATATATACTGCATCAAATCCATTTATTCCACACTTCTACATCAGTTTTAAAAGCCTGCCTACGAGAGATTCTGCTCAATTGTTTCTTTTCTTTCTTCAAAATTCAGTACAATGCCCTTGTAGACCTGATATATATCTATAGATAGACTGCTTGCTGATCGAAACAATTTAAGTAAACAAGATTTTTCAAGAGTTCTGCAAGATATTGAAGGAGCTAATCCCTTCGACTGCAGTTTCGTGTTTTAGGCTTCACTTAGGTATAAACAAGTTAAATTACAAAAGCTTTATGGTTCGTGATGATAACATAACTATATAGATATATAGCCTATATCTACCAGGCAACAAGATATTAGCTTATGGCTGCTGTGCTGTCAATATTTGATGGGCTAAAACAGCTAAATAGTTCGATTTCGAGTTAAAATTATACAACAAAACGTAAAACATGGCAAATCAGTTACAAATTACAATTACTCGTTACTCAATACTCGTTACTCGTTACAGCTAGTCGTTACAATTTGATTTTATTTTCTGCTCTGTTCTATTTGATTAGGAACGCCTGCTAAATGCCAAAGCAAACCTATAACAAGCGACAAAATATTGAATGTTATAGATAGATATAGTATCTGGATATCTAGCTATATATAAATATACAGATAAACATATCTATATATGTATGTTTATATATATAATATACATTTATTGGCCAGATTTGCAGTAAGTACAATTCCAAAACATATTTAGGCGGCATTACGCAAATGCAAAAGCGAAAGCATTTTTTATGACATTCTCTCTATATATATAGGTATCTATATATATATATATATATATATACGTCTAGAAACTTATCGCTCTATATATATGTATTATTATGTGTATGATGCAGTAATTGATTAATAGTTATATAAGGCTTGCTTGCTTGCAACATAGTTTTCCTTTTTCATATTTTTTCAATTTTATTTCCCCTTTTCGCATTTCATGCGCTGCATAAAAAATTGTATATTAACCGTTAACTATGATAATAAAAAAAATGATAGTGCAAAGTATAAACAAATTCTAGTTGTAAAAAAAAATGTATTTAATTATTTATATAGGCATACGAATATTTTTTACAGTACGAAACAAAAATTGTTTTTCGTTTTTACAGTAGCTTAAAATGTAATATTTTTCTCGTATAATTTGATTTTGCTTTAATGATAATTATTCGCAATGCGTGCGGCAAATGTTGAAAAATTGCCGAATGAATTAACAAATATAAATTTATAAGTGCCTAAACAAAGGTTGTTGCCATATCAATATCAAAAGTTGTTTCTCTTCAAGCAGAATCTACAATTGATTGAGAGAAAATCTACATTTCGTATACGGCTATAAACATCAGATATATAGCCTATATAGTCCTTGATCAGCAGAACTAAGTGGTAAAGTTGATATACTGTACATTTATATAGATACACTGCCAAAACAAAACTGATTTAGGCAACATATGTTTAGTTTCTTGACTTTCATGACTAATGAACAATGAATAATGCATAATGAAAGCGTTTTAACTGTATACTGAGCATGTACCCAATGGAAAGTTAACAATTAATGAGCATTTCGTATAGCTTAAGTACTAAATAAAACAAAGAAAAATTTTCGATTTTTGATACATACTAAATTATATCAAATTGAAACAAGAAAAAATATAATAAAAATCAAACTTTGCAAACTTTAGATATATAAATATACCTTTCACATTTTCTACCGGCAACTAAAATAATAATTAATTAATGAAAATATTTTTCATTCTATATATATAAATATGTAAATAATATTGATTAAAAACCAAATAAAATAATAAACAAATATAAACAAAAAAAAATAAAATTCAAATAAAATATTGAAATACAAAATAATAATTTGAAAATAATAACAAAAAAAAATGTAATAACAATATTAATATATATCTAAGTATTATTTAAAAGTCGTGCTCATTAATCAATGTTAGGCATTGGGTACATTTATACATTCATATTATTATAGTTTATGAAACATTATTATTATTTAAATAAGCATTGTTTTTGTTTCGAATTTCATAGTATTTTGGGCAGTGTATATACGTATATAGTGTCTAAATTAATAAATATTTCGAGAGTGACATTTGCCGCACACACAAGAAAAATAATTTAACAAGCTCAACTGAATATAATACTTGAGAAGTGGGCGTGTCGCCGCCCTCCCCCCAGACTTATGCACTAGTATTTAGGGTTCTTTTCGTTTCTTTTTGCTCATAGTTAGGAATTTGTTTTTGCACTTAAGTTTAGACACGTAGAAATTGTTGCTGCTGCTGCTGCTTCTGCTGCTGCCGGATCATCGAAGATAGAAGATGCTTCACAGTTGTTGTTACAGGATCATTAAATCAGCTGGAGAGAGAGAGAGAGACAGAGATGTCAGTTTGGATCTGTATGGAATTGAATGTTGTTCTACTCACTGCACTGGCGCAAACTCTAGACACGATGCGTTAGATGCGTCGAATCACTGCGTTTTGGTGGCGGCGGCGGCGGACGCTTTTTGCGCAGCGCCGCTGTTGCATCTGCCACAGCTGCTGGCGGTGGCACCGGTGGCGGACCAGCTGCATCCACCATGCTTGTTGCAACTCCTCCAATTACTGCTGCTGTTGCTGCTGCTGCTCCATTGCTCTGGGCATGGACGTTCTCATAGAGCGCGTATTCATTGTGCGCATATTCGTAATGTTCCTGCACCCAATGGCTCACGTTCGCCGTCTCGCGGTAATAGTGCGAGCTATTAGCGCCCGAGTTCAAATTGTGGGCTGCTAGGAGATCCTCATTGTTGAAGTCACGGAAGCCGAGCACCTCGTGCGGCGTTGTTGCCGGCTCCAGTTTGCATTTCTGTGCCACCTGCCACTTCTTGCGCATCACACGCTGTAGATCCTTGAGGAAATCGCGCGGCGGATTCGATGCAGACTCTTGCAGACGCTTCGGCGATGTGACCACATCGCTGCCATTCTGACTGCAACCGGACAGCCGGGACAGATCACTGCGAGGCGGCAAGAGTGGACCGGGCGAATAAATCGGCTGCGACTGCAACTGCGGCTGGTAGCCAATGCTGCTGTTCGAACCGCTGCTGAGCGTTGTGCTGGGCGAACGCAACGGCAGCTGGGGCTCCGGTGAGCACATCTTACGCCGCAGCAGCACCGGCGAGTCAGCAAATGAGACCTTCTTCTGCACGGGCGGTGGCGGCAGCTGGGCAGCGGCTGCCGCAGCTGGTCCCACATAGTCGGGCGGCGCTTTGTAGGGCGGTGCTGCTTTTAGCGTTTGCTTCACAGCCGGCTTGATGGGCTTGGCGGGCACCGCCGGCGGCAGTGTGCCATTACTATTGGGCATGACCATGCCCATCGACATGGCCATGGACATGGGCGTCGGTGTGAGTGGGGATGTGGGCTCCACATAGGCGAGCACCTCCTCGGGCGGCGGCGGCGGCGGCAATGAGGCCAACGACAGCTGCGATCCATACACATCCTGTTCGTCAGCATGCAAAGCGGGTGGCGGTGGCGGCGGTGGCAGCGAGTCCAGCGACAAAGTCGACGAACACATCAGCTCCGCATCGCTCAGTCCTGGCGGTGGCTTGGCACAAATGCTGGGCGTTGGCGTGGGCGTTGAATTCGAAGATGATGACGAATTGCCATCGTTGGCGATGGATGCCGAAGCCGATGCAATCACATCTCGCTTCACAGACGCATTCACTGGCACCACCGGGCGACGCTTCAGTGTGCCACCACTGCTACCATTGCTCTCCTGCGATTTGCGACGACTGTGCCGGCGGGTCAGTGTGCCGCTGCGCTCGGGCGAGGCAGCCGAGTCACCAGCCACTCCGCCGCCGCCGGCGACTGCTGCTGCTGTAGCCACTGCAACTGGTCCGGTAGTTATTTCGCCCACCTCCTTCAACTGACGCGTCATTGTGGTCAATGGAAGATTGGGCTTCATGGAGGGTTTGCGCTTTATGGTGCCGGTCGTGAACTCCGAATCGAAGGCATTATTCTCATCCGACAGACAGCCGCTGGAGCTGGAGCTGGAGGCGCGCGAGATGCGGCCACTGCTCGAGTTCGACATGCTGCTGATGGCCGATGAGACGCTGCCACATTGCGATGGCACCGCCGACGAGATGCTGCTTATCGATTCACTGCGCATCGAGGCGGCAAAGCTGCCACCAACACCAGCTGCTGTGCCGCCACCCGAGCACAGCTCCTCCATCAGCAGCTTGTGATTGTGCCACAGCTGTTTGCCGTATTTACAAATGCGTATGGCAGTTACCCAACGATCGAGCGTGGCCCCATCCTCGGCACAGAGCATTTTCAACGAACGGCACGACTTGCCCAGAGATGAGTCCACAGCAGCCTTGAAGCCAAATGTGTGGTCCGTGGGCGATTTATATTTCTTGCGCCAATTGATGCCCGTGTAGACGTTGTGACCGCTGAAGAGCGTCAAGCAGGCGAGATCGCGTGTATTCTTCGTCTTCTCCTTGGGAAAATAGTAGAGGCCGGAGGAGCGCAAGACGAAATGATGCCGTTTCCAGGCCTTCTTCGGATCGGCCTTCATATAGAGCGGCCCGTCCAGCTGCAGCTGAGCGTGCGTCTCGAAGAACTCCTCCAGCAGCATGTGACGTGTCTGCTCGTCATGCTGGCAGCCCGGCGCCATCTGTGGCCCGGGCAAATACAGCTCCGGCCTAACAAAGAGCGACACCTTGTCCGGACGCTGTTGAAAGAGCACTCGATTGCCCGCATCCGAATTCCACGTCATCAGATTATCAACCAGTAGTTCATGATCCTCGTACAGGCGCTCTAACAATGGAAATATCAAATATATCAATCAAGCTCTTTATGGAGAAGGAATGGGTTTTAGAATATCCCATTTAAACATACCCATTTGCAGATCGCCCAACTGCTCGATCAGCGCCCACGTGGGCTGCATCTGGACATGATTCTTGTCCGCAAGCAGGCGCGTCACAAGGCCACAGCCCATGCGCTCATCCACCAGCAGCGACTTGGATGCCCCATCCGCCGTGAAGGCCTTCACAAAGAGCCGCCTGATGGTCGCACTTTCCAGCTTGTGCAGAGCCAACTGAATCTTGGCAGCCTTCGTTGAGGATTGCAGCGGCTGTTGATGAAGATGTTGCTGCTGCTGCAGATGCAGCTTCTGCTGTTGTAGCAGCAACTGTTGCTGCTGCTGCTGCTGTTGCTGCTGCAGCGAGGTGTTGGACGAGGCGGACGACTCGCTGGACAGCAGCGAGACGGTGTCACTGAAGGCTGAATCATTGTCAGGGGATTCAGTGCGTGGCTCACGGGGCGTTACGACGCCCAGCGTAATGCCCATAGTCATGTGGCCGGTGGGCAGTCCGCCTATGACAACACCACCTGCACCACCAGCTCCAACGCTGTTCAGACCATTGCCATTCTCGGAGATGCCCGACGAGGACGATGTGGTGCTCACGTCTCCGGAGATGCTGCTATTTGTGCGTGAATGTGTGCGCGACGAGGCGGCTGAAACGGAGGCCAAAGCCGGCGGTGGCGGTGGCGGCGGTGATGCAACACCAGCACCACCCAAGCCACCAGGAACAACGCCCGCTGCCACACCAGGCAGGAAGCTGGCCTCGCCGTAGCTAATCTGGGTCTCCAGCAAGCTCAGCTCGCCGAGTATCAGATCCAGTTCGGACTCTTGGGTATCCTCCAGATTGGCCATGGAGATGCGATAGGAGGCGTGCGTCTTGGCGTCCGGCGTCGATCGTTCGCTGTGCTTGCGCAGTTTGACGGCGCCAGCGCCGCTCGTGTTATCCCCAGTGGCCAGCAACTTGTGTTGTGGACTTCCACTGGCAGTTGCACCAACAGCAACACCAATGCCGACACCAGCTCCTCCGCCTCCTCCTCCTCCTCCTCCAATCGACTCCGATCCTTCGCTGGCAACGCCGCCAACGATGATCCCCTGGCTAGTTAGCTCAATTATCTGCAAACGGAAAGAAAAGTTTAGATTAGAAAGTTACTCAAATCTATATCTTAATAGTTTACATGCGCATTCGAACTGATAGATATTATATAGATAGATTTCATATCTTATACAAGAGCTCAAAAGTAGTCCCAATATCAATTTCAATTTAAAAACTAAAATGCTTTTTTTATATCATGTGATTTTTCACGTATTTCGATCAAGATTTTAAATTTTATAATTATTATTTTTTTTGTTTCTGTTTTTTTATTTTTCTATTATAATTCAAAAAATATTTAACTTTAAAAAATTAGTCTGAGAATGTTTACATTTGTTAAATTTTGCATTACTTTATATTTTTAAAGTAATTCATATATTTTTATTTATTGCTTTTTTAAACTTTTTTTTGTTTTAAATTTAAATTTTTTTTTATTTATATATTTTTTAAGCAAACATTTTTTTCGTAATGTTTGTCATTTTTATGTTTCTATACATATTTTTAATTTTTTAATTAAATTTAATTTTAATTTTAATTTTTTTTTAAGTTTCAAAAAGTAACTTTAAAATTTATTTTGAGGAATTTGAAATTTAGCTCGTGGTTCATGTTTGTCCAACTCATTAAAACAATTTTTTATTTGTTTAATTCGTATCAAAACTGCATTTTTATAATTTAATTTAATTCGTATCAAAACTACGTTTTTATATGCAAGGCCCATTGACCTTGAAGGTAGTCAAAAATTGCTTAAAAGATTCTCATTAAATTCGCACAAATAGTCCAGACTGGCTCCACTTTTAGTTTAATATTAAACACATTAACATAATATAATTATATATATAAATTTTATAATATATATAAATTATATTATATTTAAAAATTATATTAAATATAAAAATATAGACTATATATTTCAGTTCACCTGCCCACAGCAACAGCTGTTGAAAAGGGAATTGAGCTTTTGCAACTGAAGGCGTTGAAATGCAAACAAAATACAAATAAAACGCAGGAGACAATCGCGATCAGTCGTTCGACCTGTAAAGACGTGAATTCGAACAGCCTTCGCTTAAGCTCTACTGCTGCAGAGTTCTAAAAATAGAACTTTGCGGTGCATTCTTCAACGCAACAGCAACAAAAACCGCACACGCAGCGTTTTCTTATCGCTTGCTTCCGCGTAACTCAATTGCTTTAATTGCAATTTACGAAATTTCGTCGCTTGGCGCGAGTGCGCCTGCACTCAAAAGCACAATCCGCGATGACATCTAATGTCAATAACCTCGCTACAGCTGTAAAGGTAAATGCAGAAATGCAAGCCCAGCTTAACGTTGTGATGGCAAATAGGCAAGCCTCCATCATGCCAATAAACTCAAAAATAGATATCGCCTCCGTGCAAGGCATCACTAACAACAAAAACACGAAACGTAAACAGCCAAATTCACCAAAAACCATCAAGAAAAGGCTCATCTTCGACGAACCAAGCACCAGCAATGCAGCATTAATATCAGAAAATCGATTTTCACTGCTCGTAGAAGAAGATGAAGACTACAGCGAATCACCTGTAGCTCCAGAAGCCCCAGTATTGACCGACCAGCAAACTACTCCGAAACCTCGTCCGCCCCCCATATGGTGTCCAAACATCAAGTCTGTGGCCCTACTTCAACAGATAATAGATAAAGTAATTGATGCTAAATCATACGTAATTAAGCCAAAGAAGAATAACATAGGTGTATTAACCCAATGCAGTGAGGACTATCGCAGAGTTATAGACCACTTTACTAAGCTGGAATTGGAGTTCCACTGCTACCAGCTTAAGGAGGACAAACCATATAGAGTCGTGTTCAAAGGGCTTCACTCCAGCACTGATACAACACTAATTAAAAAGGAATTGGAAACCAAAGGCCACACAATTACAAATGTGCACAACCCACTGAGCCGTATGGACAAAACACCGCTAAATATATTTTTTGTTGACGTGGCTCAGGCCCCCAACAACAAAGAAATTTTGGACATTCGAGTTGTCTGCAGGCAACGCTGCACAGTGGAACTGCCAAGAAGATACAACGACCTGACACAATGCCATCGCTGTCAAGAATTTGGACACACACAACGCTACTGCCACAAAGCTCCCAGATGTGTGCGTTGCGCCGGGAAACACGCATCCAAAGACTGCACCCGCGAAAAGGACCAGGCACCAACTTGTGTGCACTGTGAGTTACAGCACCCAGCCAACTATAAGGGCTGCCAAGTATACAAGCGGTTGCGCAAATTGCAATCCCCAGCACAAAAAAGGAGTCCCACACAAACACCGTCTACGGGTCCGAGTACTGCTTCCGAAATTACAAGGCCCCGGAGCATTACCCAAGCCACGAGCTTTGCAACGCCTATTAGTGGTGTTTCTTACGCACAGGCCGCTAGAGGTGGACCGTCAAATAAGAATACCACAAGTGACACTTTGTTCACTGAAATGCTTCAGCAACAACAACGTCAGTTTGACGCAATTAATGCCGAGCTCAAAGCGATGCGAGAAGTACAATCCCAACAAGCAACCATGCTAAACAGTTTAATGGCCATCATAACCAAGCTTGCCTACAAATAATGGCTTTACGTGTGGGTATCTGGAACGCCAATGGCCTGAGAAACAAGACTCAGGAACTGGCTGCGTTTCTCTCACAAGAAAACATAGATATAATGTTAATAACAGAAACTCATGAGTGCCCCACTACACAAATTTTCGGATACGAACACTATCAGGCTCATGGTGAAGGAGCAAACTGCTTTGGTGGATCCTCAATCCTCATACGAGCAACAATACCGCATACACCTTTACTGCCAATTTGCAACGCAACAATGCAGGTCTCAGCCATCACCCTGCCTACGTCTATTGGAGCGATCGAAGTTGCGTCAATTTATCTTCCGCCAAACACTGGTCTGTGTGATCATCACATGGAACAGGTTCTAGGCCAAAGGTTGAATAAGACCCTCATCGGCGGCGACTGGAATGGATGGCACCCATTTTGGGGAAGCAATAGTGCGAATCGTCGCGGAGAAGTCATATTTGAGGCGATTCAAAACTTACAATTCAGCATATTGGCGACTGGAGCCCCCACCCGTTACCCAATTAATGGACACAGGCCCTCGGCAATCGACTTCGCTGTCTACAAAGGCATCTGTGACCGGCAATTGACCATTGAAGAATCCTTGGACCTATCCTCTGACCACCTGCCACTAATAGTCACAATCCACGCGCAGCCACAGCCCTTGCCCATTAGGAAACAACTACTGCCAGCAGGATCAGATTTAGGAGTCTTTAGGCGCGAGCTCCATTACTCTTTGCACATAGAAATGGAACTTAACACTCCTGAAGACGTGGACTACGCAGCAAACAAACTGCAGGAAGAAATAGTCAAAGCTGCGCACCAAGCCGCCCCACCATCTTGCCAAACAAGACAACAGTCTCCGTACAACATCCCCCTCACCTTGGAGGCCCAACACCTACTAATACACAAAAGATGGGCCAGGAGACGCTGGTTAAGATTACGCACGCCTGATGCCAAATCCATGTACAACGAAGCCACGAGGCATCTTAAAGCTGCTCTCGCCCTGCTTCAAAAGAGGTGTATCAGCGATGCGCTGGTACGAGCTGAATCGCCCACTGACGCAGAGTTTCAATTATGGAAATTTACAAGAAAGCTCAAACGGCAGCCAATACGACGTCATCCCATTCGGAGCATTTCTGGTTCCTGGCACATTGGAGACGAAGCTCAAGCTGAGGCTTTTGCAAACCACCTTCAAGACCAATTCACGCCGGTGATTACCGCAGAGGCCTCAGAAATCGAAGCAACAGAAGACATCGTTCTCTCGCCCCTCCCAGCTGAAGACCAGATAACTGGATGTACAAAAGAAGAGGTTCTTGAACACATCAGAAGAGTGAAGGCAAAAAAATCCCCTGGATATGATCTAATAAACGGCAGAGTCCTTAGAGCACTGCCTGACTCCACCATAGACTACATAACTATGGTGTACAACGCCATGCTCCGCATCCGGCACTTTCCAGCCTGCTGGAAGCGCGCCGTGATTGTGATGATTCCTAAGCCTGGCAAACCCGTGGGAGAAATTGAGTCGTACAGACCAATTAGCCTGTTGCCAGTACTCTCCAAAATATTCGAAAGAATATTTCTGGAACGAGTACTGACACATCTGGGACGCCAGGAGGCCATTCCAAACCATCAGTTTGGCTTCAGGAGACAGCATGGAACACCGGAACAGGTTCACAGAGTTGTGCACCATATCCTTGGAGCCTTTGAAGAAAAGATGTACTGCTCTGCCGTCTTTTTAGACATCAAACAGGCGTTTGATCGAGTTTGGCACCTGGGACTGCTGCAGAAAGTGAGGACCACCCTTCCAGCCCCATTTTTCGCGTTGCTATCCTCATACCTTATTGGAAGAACCTTCCAAGTGTCAAGGGGGCAAACAGTATCCTTGACTAGACCAATTATGGCTGGAGTACCACAGGGTAGTGTTCTAGGCCCAACACTTTATACTTTATTCACAGGAGATATGCCAACTCCCGAGCCAAATATAGGAAGTACAGATGCAGTACTCATAGCGACCTATGCAGATGACACCGCCATCTTATCACGTCACGTATCTGCGCAAGAAGCTTCAGACTCACTACAAAAATATCTGGACTCTTTCGGACGCTGGGCAAAACGGTGGTGTATCACCATTAATGCACAAAAGTCTGTACATACTACCTTCGCCACTAGAAGAGGAGATTGCCCAAGCGTTGCATTGGGGCCCACTATTCCCAAAGCCTCAAAAGTAAAGTACCTTGGTATCACTCTTGACAGAAGGCTGACTTTTAAAGCGCACATAAGTCAAGTAACCTCAAAATGCAAAAGCAAGCTAAAAACCCTCGACTGGATGCTGAGAGCTTCAAGCAAGTTGTCTTACAGCAGCAAGGCCGCCATCTACAAGGCAATAGTTGTCCCAACCTTCGTATATGGTATCTCTCTATGGGGCTCCT